TTGGTGGTCAATTAGGTCAAACGCTTTTTTGTAGTCAAATAAGACCACTCTAACTGCGGCTCCTGTACTGTCCGTGGCTTGGGCCCAATGATGGATCATAGAGACAAGGGCGTGTAGTGTCGAGGACTTGGGTATGGCTCCAAACTGGGTTGGGTCGATGATCTCGAGAACAGCTGGCGCAACGTACAATTTCACAACAAACTCCTCTGCAACTTTAAGAATAGCCGGTGTCAGGGAGATGGGTCTAAGGTGGTTATTGCCATCTTCGACGGGGCTTTGTTTTGGTACTGGAATAACATCAGCTAATTTCCAGGAAGAAGGAAGACCTTGATTAGCGAAAGAATAGTTTATAACGTGGCAAATTGGATCTGAAAGTATCATGGCATATTCTTTAAGAATCCAGTTTGGGATGCCGTCAGGTCCGGGTGCTTTGTGTGGTAAATTTCGCAATACAGACGAAACAGCCTCGACCGAGATTTGGGACAGTTCAGAGTTTGATTCAAAAGGAGGAGGAGGGTCAATACTTGGATACGTTTGCATCGGTTCTACAAAAGCCGTATTAATCATGGCGGCAATTTTGTGCAGAGAAAGTGAATCAATACCTGGAATTTGCAGTTGAGAACATAGAGACTCAGAGCCACAAGGTGTCGCCATTCCAGGAATACGTTTAACTGCGTTCCACAACTGGCTTGGTTATGTTTGCTTAAGATTCTGGATCTTAGAAGCGAAGTATTTGCTTTGGAGGGTTTTTTCTTTTTCGATTGACAAGATTTCGGTAATGACGATAGTTTTCCATTTCCCCGTTTGAAAAGGCTTGCTGGCGAGATTTGATTAGTTCTTTAAAGTCAGAGGTAACCCATGAGGAATCATTTACATGAAGTTTTATTCGCTTTAGAGGCATGATTGTATCAACGCCAACGGTAATTAAATCAACAAGAAGTTGTAACTTGACTTCACAGCTTTCAACATCTTCGAGAAACGGCCAATGGATGGAACTTAGGTACATACCGAGTTCGTATTTTCTACTTGGGCGGGTGTCGCGTCTCATCAGGGTTTTCCTGCTAGAGTTGGAGTTAGGGTACCGCGCTTTGGGACGAAGAAGGACACCATTATTGTGGTCCGAGAGACCGAAAGGAGGGATGGAGTGAACAGAATTGTAATCATAAATCTGGTACATGTTGGTGATTATGAGGTCCAAGATGTTGTTAACTCTAGTAGGGGTGTGGACTAGTTGTTTCATTTTGAATTGGGGTAAGAGGCGGCGAATCGTCAGTTCGTTAAAATCGCCAGCCAGGAGAATGCCACATCCGGTGTAGAGGCTTTCTACAGAGACGAGTGTTGTTGTTAAGTAACGTAACATGACTTTTTCGTCAGAACTACAATCCTGGTCAAAAGTCCTTGGCGCACTTAGTCGAAATAGCATAACCTTTACTTCATTTCTGACTACCACATACATACTTGCCCATTTTATGCAAAATTCCATGTCCAAACACCCCCTATCCCCCTTATCAATGTTGTGTAACACCTTGGACGTATAACACACTACACACAACATTGAACGGGGGAAGGGGGGTTGCTATGCTTGTTATTGATGTGGGAGTCAAATTTCGCACAGTCAGTGTCAAGTGCGCCAATATTTTTGACCAGGATTGTCCGAATATAAAAATGAAACTAAAACTTATGTACATATATAATTTTGACTCAGAGGTGTTTTCTACGTATATTGGGTGGCGTGATCTAGATGATTTCGTTGGGAGTTATTGACAACCAAGCGTGCGCGTCGTAATGTTGATAATTATGACGTCATATGTCGGGGGTTTATGTTACTATGAATCATCATAATCCCGTGTATATAAAATGAGGCTGGCTACAAAATAAAATTGAATAATATGCATTTCGATAATTAGATTCATTTAAGGATGATTTACACAAGAGAAACCACAACAAAGACAAGGGCTTTGGTACAGTTTATTATAGAAAGGAATCGGGTTTTTCGAATAGGAAGATCGCGAGAAAATGTCATATAAGCCCTTTATAAGTAGCAAGAATATAGAGGGAAGACCAACCACCAGCTGCGCTGAGATATAAATCAGGCAACAACTTAAGGTCGCCCAAGAAAAGTTGACGCGCGATCGTAATTGTCGCTATAGCTTATGTGAAAGGTGTGGTTCTCAAAGTTCCCTATGAGAAAATGAATGGCAATTTCTTTGCAGAGTTCATCGGAAAGCCTTTTAGTACTTGTTTTTTCAAAGTGCGGACGTAAAAAAGCGATCGTTGCCTGTTTCTCATGGATAATGACCGATCACAAAGTAAAGTAGCGCGAAAAGCAATGGAAAAAATCGAGACTGAATTTCACAAGATTCCGGCTAGATCGCCTGACCTGAATCCGATTGAAAATCTCTTTCACTTGATAAAGAAAAGTCTCGAGAATGAAGCAATTGAAAATAATATAACGTAAGAAACGTTTGAAGACTTTTCAACGCGGATTTTAAAATCCTTGGAAAATCTGTCAACTGATGTAATCTATCGTACTATTTCAAGCCTGTCAAGTCGAGTAGATGCTGTTCTTAAAGCAAGAGGAAATCGCATAAAATACTAGGAGTTCTATCTTTTACTGTAATATATAGTAATTCAAGGCAGAGTAAGGACAGTATAGATCAAAATTGGTGTAGCCATTTTCTCAAATAGGCAATTAGCTTGCTGTCAACAAGTAGATTAAATGCCAATTACAACTACACATCTTCACAGCGTGACTCCAATGGTGCAGCAACGGAAAATTACAAACAGTGTTCCCTTGATATTTCCTAATCATTTGCCAAGGATGAAAAAATTTTTGATTTTGAATACACAAAGTGGTTTGCATTACTTGAATAAATGCATTTATTCATTTTAAAATCTTATTTAGGTCATTATTGCTAAATTAAGATCAGTGCTCCACAAACCTAGCTTAAATTCCTTGACTATCTCTCTGAATTCTTTAGGAAAATGGGGAGCACTGTTCAAAATCATGCAAGATATAGTTATATTTCAAAGCAAATAAGTTGACAATTAAATATCATTATCAAATATCGTTATATTATTTGCAGATATTAAAATTTAATAGATTTACAATGAATTTTTTGATGGAGTAATGCGTGGACCTATGACTTTATGTTATGCATATCTGGGCGTGAAACATTATAGGTTGTAATTAAGTGCTTATTACGTCAATGACTAATGCGATTTAATTATAACTTGTTATCTAAAACAAACTTAATAGCAAAGCAATGTCCACTTGGTATTCAGTTGTCAAATGTAACTTGCGAAATATATACAAGACCACAAATTACGACTTAAATACTTGCTTCCATCTGATTATATTTTTCAAAGTGTGCACACGCCCATAATGTTGTTAGATTAAGTACGATTAAAGAGAAAATACAAAAAAAAGGATACATGTATCAAATAGCGTACTTTAATATGTCGTTATTATTATTATTATATTTTATTCTTATTATATTATAAATGTTTATTATTTATTTAGACGCACGTTACTAATACGCAAAATATTATTAAAGGTTCACTAACGATTCAAGGATTAACGCCAGTGTATTTTTATGAAATAAAAATAAAATTGTAAGATAATGCACATTCAGACAATCCTGGTCAAAAGTCCTTGGCGCACTTAGTCGAAATAGCATAACCTTTACTTCATTTCTGACTACCACATACACACTTGCCCATTGTATGCAAAATTCCATGTCCAAACACCCCCTACCCCCTTATCAATGTTGTGTAACACCTTGGACGTATAACACACTACACACAGCATTGACCGGGGGAAGGAGGGGGGGGGGTTGCTATGCTTGTTATTGATGTGGGAGTCAAATTTCGCACAGTCAGTGGCAAGTGCGCCAATATTTTTGACCAGGATTGTAGGTGGGTGATATATGATACCCACGATAATACAAGGAGTACCACGAGGCAAACTTGTAGGCCTAATATGAGACCATATCACCTCCATTTCAGGTTCTTCCAGTTCAGGCAATCGTTTACAAGGGATTGTGGACCTGACGTATAGACACACGCCCCCGTGTGATTGGGAGACACGGTTTTTAAAGGTAAAATTATATCCCGGGACAAGGAGATGATCGTTAATGATTGAATCGTGCAGCCATGTTTCGGTGAAGCAGGCCAGATCAAGATTCTCCTCTTGGATAACACAACGAACTTCGTCAATTTTAGGTAAGAGAGACATGGTATTCGCAAGCAATACGCTAGGACCAAAATCATATTTCGTTGTGTAAGTACCTATTAAAGGCAACAGTTTGACATTCGTGAGATTTGCAGTGTTCGCTTGCTTAGTACTATGTTGGAGTTTGGTAACATTTCTGTTGGTAATTCTCACAGGAATGGGACGACTTAGTACTGTAGATGGTCGGTTGAATTCCAAATATATAGATTCGTTATTTAAACAATTAGTAGTTGGGCCAAAAGGGTTAGGGTTTGGATGAGTGTTAGAGGTATACAGGGAAGAGGTCTCGCAATTCAATGTACGGGAGGTTTTGTCATTATGGACATGAGTGGTGGGGGTCTTGTCAGTGGGGGCATATGTCCGGGACATACATACGGGTACGGAAACGGCTGGGACAGGGGATAAAACCATGGGAAACGAATCGGGGGGGAAATAATTTGGGTCGTACGGAAAAAGAAAAGGAAATTGGTTATTACTGCATTGTGGCAAGTTAGGAGGAAGAGATCATTCACCACTCTTCTGTGGAGATGTCTTTCCGCGTGTTCCAGTTTGGACATTCTCATGTAAGAAGTCACATTTGTGTCCCTTTAAACAATATCCCCGCCTTTTCAGAAACGTGCATGCCACTAGAGCTTTTTTCGTTTTGTCTGTGTTGGCAGGATCAATGTTATTTTTGTTCGGGTCGCAATTATGGCAGTTTTGAGTTGGGTTTTGTTTGGGAGATGGATTTTCGACGGTGATTAAACTTGCATTATTTTCCTTCGAGTTAGCTGTTTTTTTTAGATGTAGTCGATGGGATTTCAATGATACTTTGATTTGCATCATTTAATTCCAGATTATCCAGTTGTACGCTGTTACAGGATGATCTTCCGGTTGAGATGTTGGTTGTATTTATCGTAGGACCAAGATCGTTTCTGGCGATTGGGCTTGCATTATTGCCATTCATATTAAGTGGCGTTTTGACTGCTGATGGACTATTAATTGGACTTGGATTGTTTGTGTTTAAATTATGCAGTTTCACACTGCTAATGGGTGTCGTTACGCTTGGAGTATTAATTGAATTAGTTGCCGGCCCACGATCATTGTTCTCCTGGTTATTACCTGTTAATCTAAATACTAGATTTTCAAGGGACACAAGTGTCGATTTAAAAACTGAATTTTCCTCGCTAAGTTTATGAATCATTTCTTCTTGATGCTTTATAATGGCTTCCATATTTTCTTGTTTAGCTTTAAGTAAGTTAGTGTTCGAAGCATTTTGGGAAATTACTTCGGGTAATAATTTGCCTTCCAAAATTGCTATGTCTAATTTAATACCTTCAAGTTCAGTTGTTATGCTACTGTTTATACATTCACAGTCATAGTTATATACTTTAGCTAAGGCATCCCTTGCTTCGCTTTTATTTATCGATGGACGTGACTCTGGTGATTCGCTGTTACCAGACATGTTTAGGGCCTCATTGTCCGTAGCTTTGACATTTGTCAACTGAGATGTCTTACTTCGTGTCAGGGAGCACCCATAATCGCGTTATCTGTACCTTCGACATTTGTCAGCTGGGGAGTTAATACGTTCCCACTGCCTATATCAAGTCGCTGCTCGATTGCTTGTTTGTTTTTTTCCTAAGATCTTCAGTTCTTTATTATCTTGATTCCATTTTATTGAGACCGATTCGCCGCAGAACAGCTTCACATCACCACCTGGCGAAGACCATTGCCCAGTTAGATTTAATTCATCGTTAACCAGTACTTTTAGCTGAGATAAATCGCCCGTCCACATAAACTCTGAATTTTTGACAAACAGACAATCATAAGGACTCGTAATAGATATTTTCAACGGAATTTGTAACATACAATTTGGAATATCACGGAGCAACTTAAGACACGTCTTACACAGTCTAAAGTCTTACACAATCTTGCACAATGTTGTTTTTATGGATATTTCTAAGGCTTTCGATACCGTTGGCCACTCAAAACTGTTGCAAAAACTGCAGGTATTCGATTTTTCTGGTTCTCTCCTCCTGTGGTTTAAGAATTATTTATCCGGACGCTTCCAACGAGTAACTGTTCACGGTGCTACGTCGACCACATTATCCATTACATCTGGGGTTCCACAAGGATAGTTATTGGGTCCTTTCTCTTCTCTGTATATATCAATGACTTACCTAGCTATGTATCATCCCTCTACTGGGCTCGGACTGTTTGCTGACGACACCAAGCTGTATCGTTGCATAAAGAATCCTTCTGATGCCTTGGTCTTGCAAGAGGATAATCAAGGTCTTCTATGTTGGTCAAATGAAAACTACCTTCATTTCAAGCAATCCAAATGCAAGGTACTCTCTATAACCATACAGTCTTGCCGGTGACCTGTTGTCCTTTCCTGATGCTGAGGTATACCTGACCTGGGTATAACTATCAGTCACAAATTAACATGGGCCCATCAAGTGAGCAAGGTGTAGTCCAAAGCTAACAAATTGCTTCGATTAATTAGGCCTACCTTGGAGATGACTGTCATCAAGGCGAGAAAGTATCTGTACCTACAGCTCGTTCGAAGCAATCTTGCGGTACGCATCCCAAGTAAGGTGTCCACAGTCCGTACAGTTAATTGAAAATATCGACAAGGTGCAGAGAAGAGCAACCAAATTTATTCTTAACCTTGGGTTTGTCACCAACATATCGTATCCAACAAGACTACATAACCGAGATCTACTACTCATAACTTGCTGGCACGAATACCTGGATATATTCCTACTCTATAAAATCATTAACAATTATACATAAATTGACGACAGTGCTCGACCGGTTATATCTGGATCAGGAATCACCAGAAGTGAAACTAATGACAATGGAATTAAATTCTTAATACCTTATGCCAAAACTGTAACGTTCCAGTTCTCGTATTTTATTAGAGCGTGTAATACCTGGAACATCCTAAGTGATAACCTTCGAGACAGAAACATTGGTTTTTATGCTTTTAAATCAGGACTTGAATTGTATTATAAGAACGCACTATCGATCACGTATAACTGTGACGATCCTCGGGCTTGGAAATCTGTCTGTGTTAAATGTAAAAGGGCGAGATCCCTTGACGGTGTTTTAAACTGTTGTTAGTTGACAGTTTAGCCGTTTTGTAATTGTGTTGTTCTATTTATAGCCTGTTTCGTTAATCAATTATTTGAACGTAATTTTTATGTAAACATTAAGGAATCGCCGTAATTTGGGAAACCTGTGGCGAACTCCTTTGCACTACATTGTTGTATTTTTAGGTAGTTGCCGAATCTTATTAAAACATTAAAACAATGCATTCATTAAGTCCATAATTCTCTTTTTAGGAAATGAAAAGAAAAGTTTCTTTAATTAAATTAATCGTGTAAAATTTGTTTTCGTTTTCACATATGAGCCAAATATATTAATAAATAGTGATGCTGTCCATATTATTGATCAAATCATGCTTGCAATTTGATTAACAATTTATGAGAAAAATACAAAGACAAATTATCGTTTTCAAAGTTACTGTCGGCATGAAATTTCCCAAATTAAATATGCGAAAGCGTAACTATTATAAAAAAGTTACATTTATAAAAATTACAAAAATTACAGGAGTGTTGGACCGCGTCAAAACTTCGACAAAATGAAGTGTTTTCTATTCGTTTTTTGAATACGCGAGGTTGGAATCGTTGGGTAGTACGTTGTTTTATAACGTCATGTTTTTTTAATGTTCTCTTGTGTTTTTCTGTCTTTCGTCTCCTGCCTCTTCTTCTTTGTTAGCGCTGGCTTGGTCCTGTTTATTATTGTTCTGAGCTTTCGTAGCTTTTCACTCTTTTTACACGGTCTACGTCCACTGACTAGAGCTGGACTGCGCAACTCTTTTTACGCTCACGGTTGAGGGTAACTCTGTACATGTGACTGACAATATGGCATGATCTTGAATGAACGAGTCAGCGTGCTGGTGGTGTACTGTTCAACACTCGTTCCAGCTCTCCATCTCTGTTTATTTGAGGCGTTGTCGCACTTCACAAGTCAGTTTTATGCTCCTTCTGAGAATACTTAAATATGTTCATCAAAACTCAACTAATTTAGCATTACCTTCAAACCATAAGCGTACAAATTTGTTTACAAATTTACCTAACTTTAACGAGAACTTTTAGAAGCAAGCTTTTGGTGACGTACTATTGTTCCTTCACCCAAGTTCGCCGTATTGTATTGAACACCTTTGTCAACCTCATTAAATATTCTTCACTGTCTTCGCAAGTGTCATCCCTATTGGACGATTGTTTCATTAGACGATACACCATGACCCTAAACTAAGAAAGACACATAACAAAATGACTTCCGTTAAGTATCCAGACCAACAAACTTCATAGTAAAAATAGCTGCATGCTTGTTCATACCCATTATACTTTTTTGGCGTGTCATACAAAATCATGTTGGTTTAGCATTTTGTTTCAATTCTAATGAAATTGAACTGTCGTTTACATTTGGGATCAAAAATCGAAAAATCAAACGACTATTACAAGTATATATAACTATTGTAATAAATCAACCATTGAACACGCTTTTGAAAAAATGAAAGTAGTTTTGCTGTTCAATAGTGCAGAGACATCGTTTTCATTTTGGCATTCCAAGTAGATTAATTGTTTTAGTTAAAGTATATTGAAACCTGCATAAATTTGGAACGCAGTCGTAATTTTAAATCACACCAGTTCGCTTAGAATCTGCAGTTTGGAGCATCGCCTTTTACTATCCGCTCATAACAGGAAGTAAGTTTTTTTTTTATATTTGAAATAAATGTAAACGCATTACAGTACACATAGTTTATAGCATTGAGTAAATAATGAGCATATAGTCTATTGTTGACATCAGCATGAAAGCGCGGAGCAACTGATTTCGCCATTTCCACAAGTAACAGTGTTTATTAAGATAGCACAACAAGAGTACAGCTACAAGATAACGTTTAAACAATTAAGCTACACTCCTTTGGGAAAAATATGGCCGCTTTACATTCGTTTGGAAATTCTAGAAAATCAGGAAATGATGATAAAATTAAGGTGGCTCCCTACAGTTCTCTAAAATTCTAGGTATTTTGAGTAACGTTCGCTTTGAACCGAATTTATATTGGATACACTTAAGACAAGGCAATATGAGCATTTCCAGGAAAGTTCAGAAGCTGTGTGCTGTCCATTTATAAACAAATTAAAATAGTGTTCGTGTTGCCATGGCAACCATGACGTTTAAACTTTTGCACTTTTATTGTCCAATTTCACAATAAATTGACAATATGTATAGTTTCCTTCGGTGAATTTTTCTAAAATTTTTTTTGAAGATTTATGGTCTATAAAGGAAAAACATATCAAAATTTGAAGGGAGTTTAGAAATAATTTTTCGAGATATACGTGAATGACGGTTACAGAAAAAGTTATTTGTAGAATTTCTTAAAATTTGGATATGTTGTACCACTCGTCTTGTATAACAAAGTTTAAAAAAATTTGACCGAAGAAAACACTAGAAAATCATCGCTAAATTCGGCGTGGCCAGCATGAAAAAAAATCGACACGACATGAGCACGATCTGCGCATGCGTGTAAATTGTAGCGTGTGATTTATAGTGATTTCAACTTTTAGGCTTACAATACTACGAAAACAGACATTTCTCACTTGTTTGACATAAAAATAAAATATTAATCTTGAAAATACTAATAAAAAACACTATTATACGCATTGTATTAAATCCAATGTTAGTTTACATTTGTTTTTGTTGTTAAAATCGGTTTACAAGTTTAACTTTTCATATAAAACAACTCATAACTGTTTTATTTGATTTAGCAGATAAAACGATACCTGTGAATTGAATTGATTGACAGAACTTACATAAGTTTCGGCGACAGTTCACTACTGCTCAAGAGTTAATAGAAGACAGTATCCAGTTCAGTTTGACAGTTCGCAAATCAGCTCGCATTGTTACTGGTGCAATAAGGGGAACAAATAGAAATCGTCTATTGGATGAACTATGTTGGGAGGATTTGGAAACTAGGAGACATATTCATAAGCTATCCTTTTTTATAAAATTGTTACCCACACTGCACCATCCTACCTTTGTGATCTTTTGCCTCCATATGTAAACCAAAGATCCAGTTACTTTCTAAGATCTAACGATAATTTAACTAATATACCTGTGAGAACTGAACGATTTAAAAAATCTTTCTTTCCATCGGCAATAACTGCCTGGAATGATCTTGATCCAGATTTACGAAATATAGAGACGCTATCTTCCTTTAAAGTTACCTTATGTAATATGTATTGTGGACAAAAATGTAACGTAAAATACAATGCATCACTAAGTAGATATAGCTCAATACTCCATACCAGGCTCAGGCTTGGTCACTGTGCGCTTAATTTTCACCTATATAGAATTAATTGTGCAAATTCCCCTTTTTGTGTATGTCGATGGGGTGAAATGGAAACTGTCAAACATTACTTTTTATATTGTTCCCGATTTGCTGCCCAACGTGAACAATTGCTCTCACTTCCTGCGCGGCTGCTCCATCCTATGGCTATGTGGATGAATTTATCAGAGAATCGGAAAATTGAAATACTTTTGCATGGTTCGGAAAATCTTGGACATGAAGATAATGTAAAATTAATGCAAAATGTCCAATTATTTATTTTAAATACAAAACGGTTTCAGGCGGAGTAACTTTTTTTTATTTATTTTTTTTGTTTTTATTGAAACTTGTTTTGTAAAACATTGGTTTGTAAAACATTGGTGTGGTAAATTCTTCCATATAAATTTCTTATAATAATATGTTTCATGGAAAGCTTGAGAATGAATACCAGAAGTTCTTCCACACTATGATTATTCGATTTGTTTTGATGTAATCTTTTTTTCTATGTAATCCTCTTTGTCTTGATGTGAGTAACCTAAAGTTTGTAAATAATCCGACATAATCTCCCTTGATGAGCTATGCTCTTGGAGAAAATGTCTGTAATAAAATATGTTTAAATAAAAAAAAAAAAGTTGAAAATTTTGAGCCATATGAAAGACAATACTGAACGTAAATACGTAAAAACACCCTAACAGATAGGTTAAACTAGTTAATAACATACGTACTGTTCGAATTCAGAAAAAATTAGGATTATAATAAAAAACTGGAGCTTTCCTTGTAAATAAAAACGCAAAAAAACTTCCCGCTGCTTGTTTCAATATTTTTGCCGAACAGTAAACACGACGATTCCACGCGCAGGTCGCGAGGATGAAGTCTGATCTATATAAATCGTGTTGAAACTGTACTAACTGAGGGAGCCATCTTAACCTAATTTCCCCAAATTAAATTAGCTAGAATTAATGTTGGCGACAAGCACTTTTTAAGTCACTCTGTAAACCAAATCATTGCTGATCTTGACAGACATTGCGGAAACCGTGCACTGGGTTGTATGATGAAATAGAAAACAATATATATATACTATTATAATACTACGAAAACCAACAGTAACCTTAAATGAACCCGGTTTCCACATGGCTTTTGTTGAAGTTATAAGCGAAGTCCGACAAACCAACGAGTCGCGCGAACAAATTCACCCAGTGGAAAACAGCCTGAACGTTGGATCTAATTCAGTGGCGAGGGCATTATACCCAACAGGCTGAGTAGGCTAAATCCTAGTGGCCGGGGCTTTTCAGATGATAGCGTGATTTTCAGATAATGCGCTTTTTATTTAAACGAGACACCACTCTGAAATCATTAATGCTAAAGTGCATATATTTGCGGTATTTATACTTATACATGACTGACACTGGTTTCAAATTGTCATATATAAATATACCAACCAGAGATAAATATAAGTTAGCTGAATTTCAGACACCGAAAACGGTTTGAGTTTGTCAAAATCATATATACAGCCGATTTAGGTTGAGCGTTTAACGGATGTGTTTGTACCGTTTGTCGTGGGCGTTCCAACGTGACGTTTCTAGGTACCGAAACGTGCGTTTTCAGGTACACAATTGGGTGTTGTCACTTGCGCTGTTTATATTTTGTTACATGTATAGTTTTAGAATTTAGGCGCTAAGTTTAAAATATATTGAAGTACAGCAAAAGAGGTTGCTCATATCTTTCAGGAAAAGCTTTGTCATTAGATATAAGATCAACTATTATTGATAAAATCATCGACAATGGTGGAAATACGGTAACTGGCTATTTTCCTGGACGATATGTCGATATCGCGAACGAGTTCAACTTGTCTTCTGCGTTAGTTTCTATTAGATATAGAAACAGTTTTACAAAACAAATTCTTTAAGTCCACTTAAACACGGCGGGGGAAACAAAAGTGGTCTGTTCGATGAAAATCTGCACTTAATCGAGGTGATAAAAAGGCAGAAGCCTTGAATATCTTATTTTAAATAAGAAGATATTTTGTTTGAAGTAGGCGCCCTTCCGTGCGGAGGTCATCAAAAAACAGCACTTAGCAATGCTGTTCGACATAGACTGTCGAGTGGTGATAATTTTAGTTATAAAAAATTGCGCATGTAGCTCAGGAACGGTTTACGATCCAAAACATGGCATATACGCAGATGTTTGTCGACTATTTGTACACAAAGATCCATACACTTTAAAATATTTTGACGAATGCGGTGTAAAATTGCCGGCTAAAAGGCAATAGATATTACGGGCACGCTCCAGTAGGAGAAAGAGCAGTTGAAATACATAGATACTGTGAAACAACAAATACAACTGTTAATCTCTTGTGTTCTCTCACTGGTGTAACATACTTGAATATCATCGATGGTCCATCGAACGCATTAGAGTTTCTCAGGTTATTTGAGGTGAATCTCGGTGAACCCGCAACAGGTCGACATTGTCTAGAAGTAGGAGACACGATAGTTATGGACAATTGTCCAATATATCTTAACGAAGGAGATCGCGTCCTACAAGATTTTCTTTTAAATGATATAAACATTGAGTTAGCTTATATGCCAGCTTATAGCCCAGATTTTAATCCTGCCGAATATGTCTTTGGCAAGAATATGTCTTTAATGTTTGCCTGCCGAATATGTCTTTGGAATATGTCTTTAATGTTTACTAAAATGCCAGTTTCGGGAACTTACGAACACGAACTTGAAAGAAGCAGTATATACGGCTGCTAATTTCATATCACCAGTGGACATACGAGCTTTTTATCAGATTACTGGCTATTTAGACCCATAGCCATAGGCCATATAGTGTATAAAGCTTCATGCATGTATATTATAATCAATTATCGTTCCGGCGTTAGTCATGCAGTATATACATGCTGTAACATGCATGGTGTATCAGAAAAACGAAGTCCTCTAGTCAACTGTAAATTTTGAGCAGATTAATGGAGCAACATGTTTATGTTTACATTCACTTTAAAGCTTAGCCATTCAGCAATTCAACGGTACGGTGGGTTACGTTTTAAAAATGACGGGTTGGTTCGCGAGTAATATTATTTTAAGTAACTGCTATTGGAATATTAAACTAGGGATCCAAGCTAGGATAGTGTAAAGTTTCAAATTGAAAAAGACACGGCAAGAACTGTATAGGGTCGCGGACAGCCTGGAACAATAAGAGCAGGCATAGGCTGCAGCAGGCACGTTACTAAAAAACGTGGATTAGAACAATGTTGTCCGAAAGATAAGATACTCTATTCATATTAACTATGTTAAATTATGCATGCTATGACGTAACGCAGCGGGGGGTTGCATGCAATGGGATTATATTGAAACTGTGATTCTGAGAGAAAAGTAACTTTGTATTTCGAGTGACTAAACCTTTAAAACTAGTGATTTGTTGTGAAAACTTTCTTCAAACAAGAATTTCCAACACGTGTCACCCCTGGATAGGACAGTGAGATCTCGCAAGTGATTTTTAGAGCGTAAATCAACGTAAACAAGCGATATTTAGCGATGGTCGAGGCAGATTTAAAAACCAAAATAACACAGTTGCAAATGGCAACCGAGAAAAGTGATGCAATTCTTAATGGAAACAAGAAACGAGCGATTGCCAGACACGGGGAGAGCTTGAAAGAAACAATAGCTGTGGTAAATAAATTGCGATTAACAGTCGAAGCAGAGAACATTTCCAAAGAAACAAGTGCCGAGGAGATCAAAGAGTGGAATAAAACCGTAGAGAATACGATAGAAAAAGCCGACGGTATGGTTGAAATTTTAGAGCAATGATTAGACGAACAAGATGCGAGAAAGGAGAAAATACAACTCGAGGAAAAAACAGAAAGAGGGGAAATAGAACGGGAAAAACAACTACAATTATGAGCTAAAATTACACGAAGATAAGGTGAAATTACAGTCTGAAATTACACCGGAAGTAAGTGTGCATACAAGCGGAAGTAGGTGAGGCGTTGAAGCGAAATTGCCAAAATTTCACATAACAAAATTTAACGGTACTTATGCAGATTGGCCAAGATTTTGGAACCTGTTTTCAAAAACTATTGACAAATCAGGCATTTCTCCTATAAACAAATTCGCCTATTTACAAGAACTGTTATGTGATAAAGCAAAAAGGTCAATTGAAGCCCTACCCCGTACTGCTGAAGGATACAACCGAGCAATTTCCATCCTCAAAGATCGGTTCGGAAAGAAAAGCGAAGTGGTGAAGACCTATGTGAAAGAAATATTGGATCTACCACATATTGCTACAGCCAACACTAGAAAATAAACGAGATCTATGAAAAATTGGCTTACTGTGTGCAATCGCTAGAAATACTCAAACAACTTGATGCTATTAATGGAACAGTCTCCATAATATTAGATAAGCTGCCTGCAAGAAGAGGTGATCTTGTACGAAATGATAACGCTTGGGAAAAGTGGGACTTTATACCGGGTGGCGCAAAAAAAAGTACAACTGTTTGATTACTTGTAACTCAGAAACAATAAGCAGTAGAACCATAAATCGAGTTTAATTGCATCCAGCGATATCTAACTTAAATTTTGGTATATTTGACAGGCATATTCGTCCAAGATTAACTGAGATATAAGAGTTTAAACTTTTGTTAACAATTTTGAAACAGTCACAAATTAGCTAAAAATCAGTTTAATAGGCCGTTTTTAGCTAATTTGTGACCGTTTCAAATTTGCTAACAAAAGTTTAAACACTCATATCTCAGTCAATCTTGGACGAAAATACCTGTCGAATATACCAAAATTTAAGTTAGACATCGCTGGATGCAATGAAACTCGATTTTGGATTCTACTGCTTATGGTCTTTGAGCTATATGTAATCAAACAGTTATACTTTTTTTTGCGCCACCCGGTACAGTTTACTGATGCCTTACAACTCTGAACCAGAAGAAACCAAGTAATTGAAGATGCGAAACCAGATGATCCATCAAAGAAGCGAGATCGACGAGACACGATGACGAGACATTACAACCAGACACAACAAGGTAAAACCGAACAGTCGAGTAAGAAACGCCCTTGTGTATACTGCGATGGGCATAACCATCGATCATCAGAGTGTGACTCGGTTAGAATGGCAGACCAACGCAAGGCTGTTTTGGCAAAGAAAAAGTTATGCTTTAATTGCACTGGTGCGGCACACAGAGGGTCAGAATGCAGGAGCACAGGGACATGTGAGAACTGTGGCAAACGACATCATACTTCAATTTGCGATGAGACCGGTCCACCAAAGCCAGTGTTAACTGCCCATATGGAGGAAGACCAGCAAGTAATCTACCCCACTGTGTTGATTGAAATTGATGGGATCAAGACACGTGCCCTTTTAGATACAGGAGCTAGTAGTTCATATGCGTCAGCAAAGTTGATTGAAATACTTCACAAGAAACCAAAGCAAGTAAAGACAAGAAGGGTGGACATGATGCTAAGTTCTACAACAACCAAAGTAGAGATATATTCAGCTAATCTTCAGTCGGTTGATGGTAAATTTAACATGGAGATCGAGTTATCTAAAGTCCACAAACCACAACTTTTGATGATAAACAACCCGAATTTCAAGGAACTTTGCGAAACATACACCCACGTGAGGGAGTGAAAGTCAACGAAGATCCAGTAAACCGAGATCAGATTCCAATCCACGTAGTCCTCGGTGCGAGTGAATATGCGGCTGTCAAAACACGGACAGTTCAGAAAGTCGGACAGCCAGGGCAACCTGTAGCAGAAAGGATCCTACTGGGATGGACTGTTATGTCGTCTGGGAGAGAAGACAAAGATGGTCCAGTGCTATTTACTCAATCAACCTCCAACGACTACGAGAAACTCTGTGCGCTGGACGTACTCGGACTTGCAGACACTCATGAGAATGACCAACAAACTGTCTATACTGAGTTTAAAGAGCAGTTAAAGAGAGCTGATGCTGGGTGGTATCAAACTAGCTTGCCCTGGAAGGGCAACCATCCAACCTTGCCAACAAATGAAATGGGTAGCAAGAAACGGCTGGAACACTTAATCCGGAAGCTGAAGAAGAATGAACTATATGAAGAATACAATGCAATTATTGAAGAGCAATTACAGAAGGGAATACTCGAAGCTGCACCTGAGATACCAACTGGAAATGAGTACTACATCCCCCACAAGGCGGTGGTAAAGAAAGAAGCGGAAAGCACAAAACTTCGCATTGTCTACGATGCGTCCGCAAGGGAAGATAACACCAAACCTTCGTTAAATGACTGCCTGCACCCCGGACCAACCCTACAAAATCAACTTTGGGACATTCTAGTCAAATCACGATTTAATCCTGTTTTACTCACTGGTGACCTCAAGAAGGCGTACTTACAAACAAGAATCAAGCAGGAAGAGAGGGACTCTTTGCGCTTCCATTGGAAGGAACCAGATAGTGATGGGATTAAAGTCTACCGGTTCACAAGAGCATTATTTGGACTTACATCCTCGCCATTCCTCCTTGCTGGAGTTCTGAACCAACATCTCAATGCTTGGAAGGATCAGTAAAAGAATTACGTGAATTATTGTGAAGAATTATTGTGAAAGAATTACGAGAAGGGCTCTATGTCGATGACTTGATGACCGGTGGTGTTACAGTGAAAGAAACGGGAGAAAAGAAGGTCATGGCAACGGAATTGTTTGAGGATGCAACATTCTCCATCCACAAATGGCACTCCAACGCAAAGGAGCTTGAAGGAAATAGTGGAACATCAGTTGAGTCTGAGGACGTGAGCTATGCCAAACAACAGCTTGGAGGGGGAGAAGTTGGTGGGAAATTACTGGGATTACCGTGGAACAGAGAAAGAGACACATTTAGCATAAGCCTTGATGTGAACACTTGCACAACGAAAAGAGAGGTTATATCTGAGATTGCTAAAGCGTATGATCCTTTGGGTCTTGTATCACCAACTATGCTTGTTGCTAAGTTACTCTATCGGGACATTTGTGACTCTAAGATATCGTGGGATGCACAGTTCCAGAACCACTCTTGAAACGATGGAAGAGTTGGAGAAACTCGTTGACTGAAGAATTGACAGTGCCCAGACCTCTTACACCTCATCGCGTTCCTGTCACTGGTATCGAACAGCACAGCTTTGGAGATGCAAGTTCCCAGGGAGTTTGTGCAGCGGTATACGCCGTCGTCCATCAAGCTGATGAAGGAACACAAGGACTTGTCTGTGCCAAATCTCGAATTGCCAAACGTAACCAAACCATCCCGCGTTTAGTAGAATTAATAGCTGGTCACATGGCCGTTAACCTTGTATCAAACGTAGAAACAGTACTTAGCAATTACCACGTGGAGACCTTCTGCTGGCTTGACTCGACCGTGGCCCTTTACTGGATAAAGGGTAAAGGAGATTATCGTCAGTTCGTGGCGAACCGTGTGCGGAAAATTCAGGAGCATAGTCAAGTAAGCTGGCATCACGTACCAACAGCACAGAATCCTGCAGACGTGGGAAGTCGAGGCGGGGTGGTGGCAACTAATCAACTGTCCCTACATGGCTGAGAAATCGTTCTGAATGGCCTACAGACGTAACCTTAGAGGCAACCGCTGAAACAAGAGCCGAAACCAAGGTGAAACAAGAAATCTTAGCAGTAGCATCCGTTGAGAAAGATGAGTTCGACCAGTTGCTCGACAAATTCAGCTTGGTTAAAGTCCTATGTATTGGAGCCTGGATACAGCGCTTCCTTGAGAACTGCAGAACGAAGCCCAAGGAGAGAAAGAGCGGTCCGATCGATACGGAAGAAATTGAACGAGTGAAATTGTGGTGGATAAAGCGTGCTCAGCTCCAAGCACAACAAGACATACGATTTGAAGCTGATCAACTACACTTAAACCTTCAACCCAATAACCGATCGAGGGATCTTAGAGTTTCGCGGTCGAATAGTCGGGGAATATCCAATATACCGACCTGACCATCATCTATTCACCACGTCTTTAGTCCACCACGCACACATTTCAACCCTCCACGGCGTTGGAATGACAATGGCGAAAGTACGAGAACATCATTGGGTTCCGCGATTGCGCCAGCTGGTCAAGAAGATAAGATCGAAGTGCCATGGTTGCAAACGATTCCAGGCGAAAGCGTTCCAAACACCACCACCGGGAAAACTCCCAAGTACGAGAACACAAGGAACTGCACCTTTTCAAGTGTTAGGCGTAGATTTTGCAGGACCAATTAAGTACCAAATCAAGGGCAAGAAAGAGAAGAAAGCTTATCTAGCACTATTTGCATGTAGCTTAACCAGCGCCGTGCATCTGGAGTTGGTAAGATCATTAGAGCGAAGGATTTCATCATGTGTTTTAAGAAATTTATTGCGAGAAAAGGGAGACCGGAACTAGTTCATTCAGACAATGGAACGACATTCCAGGCAGCGGCAAAGTGGTTGCAGAAGGTGAGGAAGGATGAGCAGTTTAATAACTATCTCGCGAAGCTGGAGATCAAATGGCAATTCAATCTGAGCGGCGCTCCCTGGTGGGGGGCCAGTTTGAGCGGCTAATCGGTTTGTTTAAGAGAGCATTCTACAAGTCGATTGGGAATGGTGCGCTCAAATGGTCGGAGCTAGAAGAAGTAGTTTTGGACATAGAGCTGAGGTAGCGTTGAACAATCGTCCACTCGAGCTCACATACATGGAAGATGACGTCCAACAACCAGTCCTCACACCGAATTCGTTGCTCCAAGTTAATCCTTGCCACCTGCCAGAGATGGAGACGTATCAAATTGAATGCAAGGACCTGAAGAAACGGGCAAAGGTTCTGAAGAGGTGCAAACTGTCGATGTGGAAGAGATGGAGTCGGGAATATGTGAGAAGCCTCCGTGAACAACATCGGAATTTGAGACGACAGAATGACCAGTCGTATCCAAAGGTTGGTGACGTAGTTGTTGTGCGAGATGAGGATCAACCACGGAACCGTTGGAGAATAGCTGTTGTAACCCGAATGATACATGGAAAAGACAATTTGCACGGGGAGCTGTGTTGAAGACCGGAAAAGGTACATTAGAACGTGCTGTTCAACAGTTATTTCCCCTCGAACTTTCCTGTGATCGTGAACCGTGTCATCCCCTTAACCCAAACGCCCCAGAATACCGCCCGAGAACCACGAGAGCAGCTGCTACTGAAGCAAGGGAGAGAATTCGACAAATTGCGAGTGAGGTAGATTAGGTGAACAATAAGGAACTTTGTTATGAACCTTTAATGAACTTCTAAGAACTCATATAGGTTATAGAATGTTAAGTAACATGTATATCATTTCAAGAA